CCTGAACCCTGAAACCTGAACCCTGAACCCTGAACCCTAAACCCTGAACCCTAAACCAAAAACGTTCCACCGCAAAAGCCCCCGAGCCTTGGCCCCTGGGTGAGGCGGGGTCTTCGGCAGCCGCAAGTCGTGAGATGGCTTCCTCGGGCACCTGATTTTTATTAGGGTTTAGGGTTTAGGGTTTAGGGTTTAGGGTTTAGGGTTTAGGGTTTAGGGACTTAGGTCTAGAGTTTCTACAAGGATCCCTTTAAGTAGGTCTAGGGTTCCTACAACCAATAGGGTTTTGTGTTCGTTTGGGCTTATAGGCTGCACGCAGGGCACCGTATTTTTGTGTAGTAAGGGCTTAAGGAAGGTTTTCGGACGGCAAGGGCTTGTAATGTATGGAGGATTGCCAGACGCATCCTTTTCAGAACTTACAGTATACCGGTCTTCGGCAGGGATCCCAGAAACGGTTCAGGTCTTGGGGCTTCGGATTTAAGGTTACCGATGTCCTGCACACCTTGCACCCTAAAACCCTCAATCACCTCGATCCCACAACTATAAGATTGTGAACTCTGAACAACTCCGAGAGCCCAATCCCTCGAATTGCGGAATACAGCTGAACTTATCGATTTCCTTCACTACCGGGGGATCGGGCTTTCTTGGAACTTCTGGCATCTTCGATATACCGCTGGCTGGGTCAGCTGCTTTTTTAAAAGCTTGACCCACTCGCCGGCGCCGAAGGATCGCTGTGGCGGAGGAAGTTCTGAACATTTTTTGGCTTTGGGTTTAGGGTTTAGGGTCTAGGGTTTAGGGTTTAGGGTTTAGGGTTTAGGGGTTTAGGGGTTTAGGGTTTAGGGGAGGGGTGGGGGGTTGCGGGGGTGGTTGGGGGGCTTCGAGCAGTAGGTTGCAGGGTTTATTGTGGTTTAGGGCACCGGAACCTTACGTTTGTGCGAATTTCCGCAGTGGATTTAAGGGACTTGCAATGGGAGTTTTGGGGTGGGGTGGGTGAAAAGCTTAGGGTGGCAGGGTGCAGGATTGAGGGAATCAGGGTTCTGGGGCGTTTCGGGGTACTGAGGTTTGAGGGCATAGAAGGGCATTGGGTTCAAGAGGATAAGGGTTTCAAAGGGCCTGGGGTCTGCATTACCTTAAGGGCCCTAACCTATGGGAATTGGTCGATTCCTTTTTGGGTACTGCAGGGTTTATATCATCAACCGCATTGGGTGCAACAGGTCTTTGGTTCGAAGAGGGCCTCATGGGGTTTAGTGCTCAAGAGCACGTAGAGTTTTGGGCTTGAGGGCTTGAGGGTTTAGGGTTTAGGGTTTAGGATTTAGGGTTTAGGATTTAGGGTTTAGGGTTTAGGGTTTAGGATAAGCATTGGGGTGTTCGAGTTGAGGGCTCAGGTCTTAGGGTATGCGAGGTGTTGAGATCCTGTCAGAGACCTTAGATCCTAAACCCTGAACCCTGAACCCTAAACCCTAAACCCTAAACCCTGAACCCTAAACTCTAAACCCTAAACCCTAAACCCTAAACCCTGAACCCTGCAACCATCATCAACCTGTCTCTCAACCGCGACTCTCTCCTGCAGGCTAAACTTAAG